ACGTACAGTTCTCGCTGGCGTCTTGACAAAGTGGTTTGCTCCCCAGTACTTCACAACTACAGCATCATTAGAGCCACTGCTCGACCTTGTTATCTAACGCACCGATGAAGCACATTCCTACATCACACGTCTGCTTTTTAATATCTTAATAGCTGCATTTTAGCATGGTTGTCTTCCTTTGCTCATCTAGGCATTTTATTTTTAAGTGTTTAAAACCATCACTCTAAGAAGGGTCCTTAGGCCTCAGCTGATGGCTGTATGGCCCACAAAGGACCCCTGGAAGGGGACACGGTTTGGTGAAGTTGGGCTGGGAGCCACGCTGTGCAGAGGTAACCTGGGCCCTCAGAGCCCACTGCGGAGGGGGAGGGTGGGCTGGAAACTGACGTGTGTGGGGTGAGAAAACGCAAAGTGCAGGAGCGTGCACTTACAGAGCTCTGACTCAGCGTGGGGATGAGCTCAGCACTTTTGAGTGGTATCTTCTTTCATCTCGCAAAAGCCCTGGGAAGGACGTACTGTCATTATGCCCATTTTACAGCTGAGGAAACTGAGGCTCAGAGAAGTCATGGCTCACAAATGTGTGATGTACGCAGGATGCAAGCGCAGAACTGTCCACCTGGGCCTGCTCTCAGCTATGGCTCCTGGGCTGCCCCGCAGAGAAGGGAGGGTGGATCTTGCTACTCTGCAAAGCTGGAACCGCACTGCCAACCCAGGCTCAGCTTTTGTTTGAAAGTCTTCAGGCCTGGTGCTCTCGGCTTCCTCTTTTTGCCTGTTGTGTTAGTGTTTATCTCAAGACTCTTGGGGGCTCAGGTTTGGGTTGAGGGTGGTGCAGGTGGCCTGCACACTCCCGTCCTGCAGCCCAGCTCCTCTGAGATGAAGAGGTGGCTGCTCTGGTTTGAATCCACGGGACCCCGCGCTGCCCTTTGCGTCTGCACGTACAGAGCACGGGCCCGGGGGGCCATCCCTCAGAGACAATACGCAGGCTCCTGGGTGCTTAACCCACGCAGGCCCAGCTGAAGTCAGCATACCTGTGCACTTCCACACCCGCCTCCCGATCCCCCAGTGCCGATGGGGCTAAAGTTTAGAGGGAGCCACTCCAGCTCAAGTTCAGACAGAGGAGGGTAAGTCCAACCCCAGGCTGACCACCAACCCACCAAACCACAGGGAAGCAGCAGGGAGACCGTACCAGGCCACACGGCCCCATCAGTAGCGGTTATCAAACTGCATCTCCATCATTTGGGAACACTTTTGGTTGTCATCACAGAGAACCCAACTAACAGTGGCTTAAACACTTCAGGATTTATTTTTTTTACATAACAAGGAGTCTGGTTGTTAGCATTGGTTTGGAACAGGGTTTCTCAATCTCAGCACTATTGACATTTTAGGCCAGATAAATCTTTGCAGTTGGGGGGTCCTGTGCATTGTGGGATGTTTAGCAGTGTCCCTGGCCTCCACCTCCTAGGTGCCAGTAGCATCCCATCCCCAAGTCATGGCTACCAAAAGTGTCTCCAGACATTGCCAAATGTCCCCTGGGTTTAGACTCAGGACCAGCGTCTGTGAGTTTCTTGGACTTTGCCTCATGGTCACAGACAGCTGCCACAGCTCCAGACATCCTGCCCATCGTCAGGGCAGAAAGAACAATTTGGGACTAGTACCAGCTGCCTCTGTCTGTTTTAGCAGAAAAGTGGAAGCTTTCGCAGAGGCCTCAACATTCTACCCAGGGAGGTTAAGTGAAGTGCCCAAGACCACACAGCTAAGCAGGGCAAGAGAAAGTCAGGATTAGAATTTGAGGGAGGGAGTGACTCCATGCACCCCAGAGGTCACCTGAGCTGGGGCGGGGGCACAGGCAGCTCTAGTACAACTGGCCTGATACCTAAATCGGTAAAGGACAGTCCAAGCCCCTATTTCCACAGATGGGCAAACTGAGGACCCAGGAGAGATTCCTTCTAGCAAGCCCAGGGCAGAGCAGGCACTAGGCTGGACTCACCCTGGGCTCTCTGAGTCCGTGCTGCCTGCAGCCATGGCAGAGGGGACAAAAGCCATTTGCCAGAAAGCCCTTGGGCCACACCCACACTGACTTGGTTTTGGTGGTTCTGGATGGTTCTGAACAGGCTGCCTCCAGGCTGGACGGAGAAGGGACAAGGGCCAGGCTGGAGCTTCCGGCCCCGCCCTCACCAGCTGTGTGGCCCTTGGCACTGTCCTTAGCAGCCTTCCGTAACATGGGGATAATTATAGTGCCTGTCACATGGGCAGTGGGAAGATTCTGTGACTCCGCGGGCACCAGCCACCAGATCTCGGCCACCCTGCAGATCTGTCACCACAGGACACTGACTCGGGAGCCTCTTTTTGGCCCTGGGCACTTCACTTAGCCTCTCTGAGGCTCCACCGGCCCAGCCCTCAAAGCAGGGAGACAAGGTCCTACCCTAAATGCTGTCGGGAGGACAAAATGGGATCATGGATCCAGCCATTTACTGACCTCGGTGGCCTTGGGGAAGCCACTCTGAGCCTCCGTTAGCTCCCCAAAACTGGTCTAAGAGTACCTGTCCAGGAAAAGGCTGCCTGGAGGTTAAATCGCCTAACGTATCCAAGTCTCTCAGTCCAGGACCTGGCCCAAAACAGATACTCTAAGGCAACTGGCCTTTATAATTATCAGTGATGTGTGCGGCATTAACCACGTAAGAGTACCCAGCACTCGAAAAGTACTCATTAAATGGCAGTGGCTCTGTCACCTGTTAGCCTTCGCATTCTCTGTTCCCTCCACTGTTCCCTCTGTTCGAATGGCCCTCACCTCAGCAAGTCCCAGAGGCCTTCCCTGCCTCTACAGGGCAGGGGTCACTCTTGGCCCTCGCCCCTGCTCCTCCTCTTGCGCCCCACTCAGCACTTGCCTGGGAGATTTCGCCAGAGTCTAAGTATTATACATATGCGTTCTTTTATCCGTGCATTGTCTCTGCCCCTCTGCTGCATCCGGGGGGACAGGCCACTAATAAGTGTGTGTTGGGGGAACGGATGCTTGTCAGGCAGGAGTTGGTTACAAGTGGAGACGTGGGGCCACCGGACGCGCGGAGAGGCTGCTGATCCAGAAACCCAAGGGGGCCGGGGCAGCGGCGTTCCCAGACCCGCAAACTCCTTCCGCCCCGTTCCGGGCCGGCCGCAGCCCATGGAGCGCCCCCGCCCCACTCCGTGGCTCGTGCTCCGCAGCCTGACCGAGCCGCCAAGCTACCAGCGGGCCGTCCCGCCGGGGGTGGGGACCGGGCGGGGCGGGGCTGTCCGGGGGGCGGGGCGGGGCGGCCCTGGTGGCGCTGGGACTTGTAGGCCCGGCCCCGCCGCCACTGGGACGCAGCGCGCGCCGACCCTGTCCTGGCCCGCCCTGGCGACGCGACGGCTAGGGACAGCCTCGGAGAGGCGCTGTGCGTCACAGAAGGGGAAACTGAGGCCCGACGAAGGGACCCAGCTGGCCCTAGGTCGCGCTACGGGGCACTGGCTGCCTTCCGTGGCCTCTAGGGGGCAAGTGAAGGTCACACTTGAATCCAAGTTTTTAAAGGACGCTTCGAGGGGCCTTTGGCTGGTCGGGAGCTTTCCCTGTCTGCTTTGTGCCCTCGTCGACTCACCCAACGAACGTTTCCCGGGGGCCTTCTGCTTGCCAGGCCCTGCAGCTTGAGCAAAGCACCCAAGGTCCCCGTTGTCGGGGAGCCCGACTAGCAGGGGAGAGACCCTTGAACAAGCAGGCGCGTGTGCGCGGCGCTCCAGGACTTTCCGGACTTGGGGCTTCATTCCCAGTGTGCAGGGGCTGGCGCAGGGCGGGAGGAAAGGACACACTTAACCGGCAGCGGTGGAGAATGGGTCCGGGGTAGGGGAGCGGCTTCTAGACGGTTCCCCTCAGCCTGGAGCTGAGCGGCTGGGGCAGAGAAGGTGCTGCATAGACGCCGGGAAGATGGAGCAGAGCGGCTGGTGAACTAACTCTCTGCTTGCCTCGCCGCCCCCTCAGCGCGTGGCGTGCCCTCCCAGTCCTCGCGGGCCCCTCCTGTGTCCCACCGTGCCAGAGAAGGGCACGCGGTTGGCGCCAGGAGTGCCCCCGCCGGTACCGAAGGTCACAACACCGGTGTCTGGAGACGGGGCGGGCTCAAGGCCCCAGACCCGACTCCGCGAGGGGGTGTGTGAGACGCGGGTGGGGGAGGGGCGGGATGCTGCCACGTGGCGGTTCCCAGGGCGGGAAGCTCAGAAAGGCCCGGTGATTGGTTTAACGCTCAACCGTTGCCGATTTGAAAACCCCAACGCTTGAACAAGGGCTTCGCGTGTGCACTGGGCACTAGCCCGGCAATTCTTGGACAGGGACCCCCGGCACCAACCTAGCGCACTCACCCCCCAGGAAACCCCCACCATGGCAGCACCCTGACTTAGTTCCTTCCGGAGCCCGCATTGTACGTTCACTTGACGGATTATTGGTCTTATGCATAGGCGCCTCGTGGGCCAGGAGCGTGGTCCGTGCACGCCGCAGCCCTCGTGCCTCGCGTCCCGCGCGTGGGGGCCCTGATATACATTTGTCGGATTAATTATATTTACATATTGGTACACAGCAATCGCTTCGCCTTTCTAACAGGGCCCGTCACTGCTCCCCAAGAAGCCCTGGGTTAAATACTGACTCAACCGTTTCCTCTGTTCACCAGACGGCGCCCCAGAGGGCAAGGCTGGCCTGTCCGGTTCGGGCTGTGCCTATGCCTGGGGCCGGGCGCGCGCGGTGGCTGCCTAGGGCGGGAACGCTCGCCGGCTGCGACCCCAGCCGGGGACCGTGCGCCCGGGGCAGCGCGCGGCTGGGCGGGGCACGGACTACGCTTCCCGGCGGCCCCCGCGCGCCCGGGCCGGGGCGGGGCCGGATGGGGGCGGGGGCGGGGCCGGCTACAAAGCCCGTGGGCGGCGCCGGGGCGCAGAGTCCCCGCGGCGCCGGTCGGGAGCGCAACGCGGCGCAGCTCGGCGCACGGCGGGAGCGGCGTGCGAGTGGACGGGCCTGGTGGCTGGACGGGCGCCCCTCGCCGCGCCGCGCGCTCCCCGCCGCCCCCCGCGCGCGCAGCCCTGCGCGGCCCGGGTTCGCAGGCGGCGGGGCGCCCCCCATGCTGCTGCAGCCCGCGCCCTGCGCCCCCAGCGCGGGCTTCCCGCGGCCCCCGGCTGCCCCCGGCGGCGCCATGCACGGCTCGCAGAAGGACACCACGTTCACCAAGATCTTCGTGGGCGGCCTGCCCTACCACACCACCGACGCCTCGCTCAGGAAGTACTTCGAGGGCTTCGGGGACATCGAGGAGGCCGTGGTCATCACCGACCGCCAGACGGGCAAGTCCCGCGGCTACGGCTTCGTAAGTGGCCCCGCGCCCGGGCCCGCACCCCGCCCCCGCCTTATCGCCGCCCGGGGCGCCGAGTCAACTCGGGCACCCGCCCCGCCGGCCCGCAGCCGCCCTCCGCCGGGCGCGCGCACCTGCTGCGTCTTTGGCCCTCGCGGCCGTCCGGCCTCCGCCGCCCCGCCGCTCCCCGTCCCCGCGGTGTAGGAGGGAGACCCGCCGTGCTCAGCGAGGACTCCTAAGTTTGTGAGGAGGTTTGGGGGCCAGATGGCCACGCTTGGGATTTCCGGGAGCAGCAAGCGGGCGGGCGAGGGGCAAAGGCTCCACCCAGGGGTGCTTTGGGGCCCGTTGGCCCTTCCCCCATGTTTTCAACAATCTCAGCCACCCCGAATAAATATCAACTTATGTAAAATCCGCGTGAAGACACATTTTCTACTTCCCTTTCAAGAACAGTGTGCCACACTCCTGGAAGGAAATTCTGGGCCCTCCCTGGTGGGCAGGCCAGGCTGGGCCCCCACTGTTGTTTGGGGTTTGTTTTTTTTTTTTCTCATCTCCCCAGGGGATTGTTTTTGTTTTTTGAAGGCAACATTTCGCAGCACTTGAACTTTGAGAGTAGGAGCTGGAATCCAGGAGATGTCTTTGTGGGAGGTCCCTGGGCTGGGGTCAGAGGGGCCTCCACCCAAGGACCCTGGGTGACAAGCACCCTTGGAGGAGGGGGAGAAGGGAGGGTCCAGTGCTAGGGCAGAGTCCTCTACCTCTCTCTTTCTCTCCCCTGGTCCCGCTAGGGAAGCTCCTGAAGTGTCTGTGCTCCTACAGGTGACCATGGCCGACCGGGCAGCAGCTGAGAGGGCGTGCAAGGACCCCAATCCCATCATTGACGGCCGCAAGGCCAATGTGAACCTAGCATATCTGGGCGCCAAGCCTCGGAGCCTCCAGACAGGTGAGAGCTTGTGCTTTCCTTCCTTGGCTCTTCTCAGTTTCTATATTCGGCCTTAGTATCCGTTGGGTGGAAAAAGGCCCCGCCACCCCCAGGAGTGGCAGTCAGCTATCATGGGCCTGCAGAGCCGTCACAGGACAGTCGTCCGCCTGAGTGGGTGCTAGACCTCTTCCCAGCAGCGTGTGGCCCGTGGGACAGGGTGGGGAGGGTATATCAGCTGTCCTGGAGGAAGGGAGGGAGGATCACCCCAGGCCTGGAGATTGGGAGCATCGATACCAGGAGGCTGCTGCCACCTGGGTCCCTTGGCCCACTTTGGCTGGGTGCTTTGGGGTTCACCAAGGGGGTGGCGTAGCAGGGGAGAAGAAACTGATTATCCTTTTTGACTGGAGATGTGTGGCCTTTGGAGTTCTCCTTCCTCGAGTTTGGGCCCCTGGGGACATTGTCCCTGCAGTGAGGCCGGGTCCCTGACCATTCTCTTGTTTTAGGCTTTGCCCTCGGTGTGCAGCAGCTACACCCCACCTTGATCCAGCGGACTTATGGGTGAGTGGCCGTGGCTGGCTTGGGGTGGGCGGTCCTTGGGCTGCTGGTTCTCAGTGGCCGGGGAGGACAGTTTTCAGAAACAAGGTTGCATTTACCGTGGGAGAACGAGAAGGCAGCATGCATTTCTCAGGCCTCATAGAGGCCACACCACAGAGGGGGGAGCCGAGCCTTGGGGCCTGCCTGCCTGCCCGAGTGCAGACCCTGTCCCCCTTACGAATTGTGTGGCCTTGGGCAGCTGACACAGCCATCTGTGCCTCAGTTTTTTCACTTCTAAGATGGGGGTGGTAGCAGCACATCTGAGTTCCATGAGTTGGGGGGCTCAGGATGGGCCTGGAACAGGTAGGCACTCTGGAAGCATGTGCCGACGCTCTTAGAACTGGTGGGCTAGGCTCTTTCCTGGGCACCCCTGACCCGCTCCAGTGCCGGGCAGACGGTGGCAGTAGGTCACTGCCAGCCAGGGTCCGATGTTTGTGAACTGCTGCAGGTAAGGTGTGATCAGGGCCACATGTCTTGGGTCTGAGTGGCCCAGGCTGTGGGCCTTTGTCTGACTCACTGTGGAGCAGCGTGTTTCATCATTCTCTGTCCTAAAAACCTTCCACCTCCCTGCCTGTGGTTTTAAACATCTAAGGCCTGGCAGCTGTTTAGAGGAGACACATACTTCAGGGACACAAGGGACCCTGCCACACAGTCTGCTTTCCCAGCATTGTGGGTTGTTTGCCCCAGTGCAGGGAGTGGGTTGGTGGGATCAGAGTTGGTGGGGAGGGCAGGTCTAAGACAGGACACCCCGTTCAGAACGTTATCACCTCTTGAGCTCTCGGAGTCCAAATTCCGGCCTCCAGATTTTGTGCCTCCAATTGAGTGTGTGTGCCTGTGTGCACGTGCACACGCTAACTCTGGAGGGCTACACAGCTTGCGGAGTGACATGGCCCACTGGGGCAGTGTGGACAGAGGCTCCCATGGAACAGGGTTGGGACCTGGCTCATGGGCTGATGAGCAGATCAGTCAGGTCTCCCGGGAGGAGCTGGCACGCCTGCTCTTTTGGTGCACTTGCCCTGAGGGCTAACTCAGAGTTGCACGATGGCTCCCTTGAGGTTGGCGGACGTGCGTGTGCTCAGCAGCAGCAGGAGCCGCTGGCCGTGGGGTTGGGACGTGGCCTGTTTGGGTGGCCAGGCAGCTCAGCTCAGCTCCCCTCCGGACGTCTCTGTCCTGGGAGGGAGCGTGGAGGGCGTTGGGGGCTGATGGCTCGGAGCATCCTTCTCAGCCTGGGGTCTGTTTCATAAACGTCTCAGAAGGTGTTTGGGGACACCCCAGCCTTCGTGCCGTCACCACAGGTTCTTCCCCTGGGATTCAGGCCGCATGAGGAGGTTGTTACTCATTTTTCATTGTCCTGGCTCTGTCCCCCAGGTGCACACCAGGTACCCAGGGGCAAGGGCTGGGGTCCGGCCTTTGCCTCGAGATGAGGGGAGACCTTCAAGTGCGTGCAGCTCTGTCCCTCCTACAGCGTGACGAGGCTGTCCCCACCATCGCCATCAGGGTCTGGGCTTGCTCTGATCCATTTCAGCAGCATGTGGCACTCTAGCAACCGCCAGTGCTTGGCCTTCGGAGCCTGCAGGCCTGGGTTCAAATCCGGACTTTGCCACTTACCAGCGCCATCCCTCCTGGCAAGTGGCGTCCTCCGTAGTTTCCCCGAGAATGGGAATAACCGCTTGAAACAGCATGCGACACGTGGGCTGGGTGCTCTGTGCTCCCCATGCGCCGCCTCCTGGCCTCGCGACAGGCCTCTGAGGTTGGGACTGATACTCCCACTTTATAGGTGGGGAAACTGAGAGCAAAGAAAGGTGAACAACCTGTCCAGGGGAGCGAGGCAGGAAGCGTCCAGGAGGAGATTTGCACCCTGCTCTCAGCCGCTGGGCCCTTGGCGAGGAGGGTAGGAAGGGCCCGACCTTTTTTCCCTGGTCATCCTGGAGTCCCATGAGCGCCACCTGGCCGAGAGGAGTCAGGGGCCAGTCACAGATACTGCTGCTGTTTGTGCCGACTTCAGGCGACGGTGTTTCGTAACTAAATCCACTGGCTGGCCGTTTAATACCTGTGATGAGAAAGAGGCCACAAGCTCTGTTTGTTGGTTGCCAAGGGGTGGAGACCCAAACAGGGGCAGGGGGTCAGAGGGACAGTCCATTCTTCGTTTCCCGTGAGTGTCGAACTGAAGCCTCTGAGAATTGTGCCACATCCCACCCCTGCCCGGGCATTACTGAGGTCCAGGGTGGCAGGAGGGCCCCTGGGTGTAGCCCTGGAGAGGCGACTGGGGCCAGGTTGCCTGGGTCAGCTGTCTGCCCCCAGCTCCCGCCTGGCCAGGCTGCAGAGTTGGGCCGTCAGCGTCCCTTTTGTCTTTGCAAACAATCAGGCCCCAGGAGCGCAGCCGGGCCTGACTCAGCGGTCAGTTTTGTCAGCCTCGGGCTGGCAGCGAGGCCAGGCCTGCCGTTGGCTGAGGGCGTGGTGGGAGCTGGGAAGCTGAGGGCTGTCCACCGGTTAACCCCTCTCCTGCCTGGCTGAACTCTTCCAGACTGTCTGGCCCCGGCCACAGGCCTTGGAAAGTTCTAAAGATTCCACAGCTTTCAGGCAAGACCACAGCGAAAGCTTTGCACGTCTGGGTCGTGAACGTCAGCTTAGAAAGATTCACCAAGGAGCTGCTTTGACATCTGCTTGGATTTCCCTGCCTGTGTGTTTGTGTTTTTCTTAAGTTGGACAGGATCTTTCAGGACCTGACTGAGCCTGGCATTTCTGTCACCTAACTGTATCTGTGGGGAGGGGCGGGGCCCAGGGTTTGGGAAGCCTTCCTCTCCGCGTGGCGAGTGCGAGGTAATCACGGAAGCAGACCCGTGTGGCCATGGACTGCCAGCCGAGCGTCTCTGCCAGCGAGTGGAGCACAGGGTTTTGGAGAGGGTTCGGGTTCAGGCAGTGTTGATCTGGCCTGGAAGGGCCTCCTAGTGTTGGAGGTGTCTGTCGACCCTGGGCCTGGCTGCACTTGGCCTGTCAGTGGGTCAGCTGTTGCTGTGTGTGCAGGTCCCTCTCCTTGTTCTTAAGAAGCTTGCTGTGGGCCGATGGGACCAGGCCCTGGGGTCCGAGACAACAGGACAGGGTCTCGGGGCTGCATGTCAGGCATGCTGTGTGCTGGAGCAAGGGCTCATGCCCATCTGTGTCGTGGGGACGGTGACAGCGCCTCCCCCACAGGCCCAACCTGAGGACTGTGGGAGCTCCCAGGCGCGGAGCCCGTGGGCCTGGAAGTCCGTGAGGCATCTCCCGCTGCAGGGCTGGTGACTGTGTGCAAAACCAAGGCCAGAGCGATGGAGAGGCTCGGCCTGAGCTCGCACATCCGGGGGCAGGGGCCTGAGTTGGGGGCTCCGAGGCCCTTGTCCCTTCCATGAGGATCCAGTGCCTCCCTCTGGCCACGTGGCAGCTCTTGGATGAATCAGGGCATGAGAGCCCGGAGACTGACAGTGGCAGGACCCTCCCAGGCATGTGCATGGTCAGCTCAGTATGTAGTTCCAGGGACGCCTGCATCCTCCACGTAAAGGCCCCTGGTGCCCACGCTGAGACACGCTGCCCTTGACACCACCAGGCCATGGGTGTGTGTGTGTCCAGGGGCCTGAGCAGGGTGCCCCGGTCCCCGGGGCGAGAGGAGGGTCCAGGGAAGGAGATGTTGGGAGACGTGTGTCTCCCTGGGAGCGTGGAACGCGCCAAGCTGGGAGAATGTACAGAGCTGCCCCCAGAAACGTTCCTTCCTCAAGTGTCTATTGAGCGCCTGCTGTATGCCAGGCCCTGTGCCTGGGATGCTTTGCATAAGACACAGCCCTCAGGATGCTCACGTTCTGTCTGTGCGCCGTGGGCCGAGCTGTGACGAGTACAGTTGAACAGGAAGCTGGCCAAGGGGGTGCCTTTGTAGAGACCACACAGTCCTGTGTCTCAAGTGTGGTTGGTGGTGGGTGGATGCGTCTGTGTGTGTGGCAAAGTATCACAGAACTGCACACAACGTACGACAAAGGAAGACGGGACCCGACGGAGGCCTGGACGTCATTCATAGCACTGTGGCCACGTGTGTTTCCTGGTTTTGATAATGTGCTTGGTCACAGGAGATGTCGCCCTTGGGGGACAGTGGGGGAAGGGTACAGGGGACCTCCTTGTGATGTTTTTGCAACTTCTTGGGAGTCTGTTATTATTTTATAATTCAAAGTGGGAAAGTAAAGCCAGGGAAGGGGCTTGCAGGAGGTGGTGGTGTGCATACATGTGTGTGTGTGCACGTGTGTGTGCTCGTGTGCACGTGTGTTGGGGGAAGGCCCCTCTGAGGAGTGAGGAAGTTGGGACCTGTGGGCACCTGGGGGGCGTGATCTGGGCCCAAGAGCAGCAGGTGAGGCGCACATAGGGTGAGGTCAGAGGCCATGGGGGCCGGGGGAGGCTGGAGGCCCCCGATGGCAGCGTTGTGTTTTCTCCCTTGGAGTGTCTCTTGCGGTGGCCCTGCCCGCCCCCCACCGTGGCTTCCTGTTTGGCAGCTTGTCTAGAGCGAGGCGTGGGCTGGCGCCGTGGCCCTCCTGTTGGGCGGGCAGCCGTGCTGCACCTGTTGTTTGTCCGTGGCGCTGTAACAGGAACCAGCCTTGGCGGTTGTTGGGTTCCTCTCCGAGGACGAGTCCCTCGCCCAGGCCCCGCTCTCCCTGGCAGGATCCCCTTCTGCTGGACCTGGGCAGCCTCTTCTGGAAGCCTCAGGCTAAGAGGCCAGGGCCTGACCACAGACAGAGGCCAAGACACAGGGCTGACCTTTCCTCGTCCAGCTTCAGTTTCCCCGCCTGCCCTGTGGACGCGGTGGGTGCCCTGCAGGGTGCTGCGGCATCCGGACCTTTCTCCCAGCCCCTCCTGTGTGGGCGGAAGGAGGGAGGCATCACTTCACCCGACAGATACTTGCTTTGTGCCAAGCTAACCCCATCCCACCTCATAATCCCAGCACCTCCCACAGCGAGGTGGTGACGAGGGGGGACAGACCAGAGGGGCAACAGTTGTGCCTCAGGTGACCACGAGAGCTGCTGAGCAGGGAGGTGGGGTGGGGTCGGGCCCAGCGGGGTGGCCTTGGGAGGGACCCTGGTGCCCCAGGGGAGCGCTGAGGCCTTGCTGTGGGTTTGGGGTCCTGGCAGGCTGAGTGGAGGAGGGATGGTTCGACTTGCTTCTCTGTTTTCAGAGCATTTCTGTTTCCGGCCGCGGGGCGACCTGGCCTGCCGAAGCCGGCCTGCAGGGTGGGGGCCTTAGGGGCTGCCCGGTAATCCAGGCGCAGCAGCCCTGGGAGACGTGCGATTCTGGATGCGTATTTTAAAGAATTTGTGAAGAAAAGAGGAGTTCAGGAAGATTCCAGAGCTTTGGGACTGAGAACACGAGGGTCGGATCGGCCGTGACTGTTGCGGAGTGCAGTTCTGGGGAGAAGGGCAGGAGTTGGGGTTGGGACGAGTTCAGGCGGAGATGCTGTCCCGGGGCCGGGCGGTGTCCGCAGTCAGAGCCCCCACCTGCTTCCTGTGGCCGCCTGCCCCCAGTCTTGCCCACCTCGTCTGCAGGGCCCTAGAAAACCTGAATGTCCCCCCAGGGCCTGGCCCTCCCCGCATGGGGCTGGGGCCCCCGCGCCCAGCCAGGCTGCCGGCAGCTGCACATCTGTCTCCGGCTCGGTGGGCAAGGCCCCTGGAGAGCAGAAAAAGTGAAATGGGCTCATTTGCCTTTTTCATTATTATTCTCAGAAGTGCCTTTGTATTCAGAAAATGAGTCCTGCTGGGCTGTGGCCAGTCATTTCTCACTGAGAGTTTTGCTTTGAGTCGGGGGCAGCGTGTTTGTCTCCCGGGCGCCGTCTGTCTGCCTCTCGCTGGCAACTCGCTGAGCACTGGGTGGTTCTTAGCAACCGGAGCTCCCCGTCTTTTCTGGGCAGCCTGGCAGGCCGTGAACAACCTTAGTTCACATGTGGGGAAACTGAGGCCAGGTGATTGTCCCTGTGACAGGCACGGCCAGGACCTGGATCCCTGGGTCTCTGGGCCCTGCGGACTGCAGGGCACTGTGCTGGGGTGGCCGCTGCCTTGGAAGGGAGCGACAGTGGAGAAGCGTGCAGAAACTTCCCAGCAGCACGGCCCATCTGGGCTCCTTGGGTGCTTGCGGCCAGACCCCCGTGGCGACAGCAGAGCGAGCCCCTGCACCCCTGTCACTGCCCAGCTCTGCCCATACTTATCTCCTGTGCACTGTACCCTCCCCACGGTGGGTCACCGATGAACTGTCATCCTAATGGGTCAGGATTTATTCCTTGCACGCACTTTTTCTAGCGGTGAAATACACATAACGTAAAATCCACTGTTTTAATGTGCACAATTCGGTGGCGTTAAGTGTCTTCTCAAAGTCCTGCAACCATCACTGTTACCTAATTTCAGAACTTTTTCATTGCCCTAGAAGGAAACCTGTTAGCAGTTACTCCCCTTTCTCCAGCCCCTGACAGCCTCTAATGCACGTGCCCCTTGTGGACAGTTCGTTTAAACAGACTCAACACAATATGTAGCCTTGCGAGTGGCTTCCTTCACTTAGTGTGATGTTTTCAGGGTTCATCCACGTAGCACGTGTGGGTGCCTCGTTCCTTTTCATGGCTGAATAATACTGTTTATGGATAGACCACATTCTGTTTACCCGTCTATCAGTCAGTGGTCATTTTGACTCCTGAGCACTGGGCAGTTCCAGCATCCTGAGCTCCCTGTCTTCTCAGGGCAGCCTGGCAGGCCCTGGGACATCCTTAGTTCACATATGGGGAAACCGAGGCCAGAGAGGCCAGATGGTTGTCCCTGTGACAGGCACAGCCAGGACCTGGATCCCTGGGTCTCTGTAGCAGAGTCAAGGGCCAACAGTGTTCCTGTATTTTTAACAACGCATGTGAACCGTTCTCGTGCAGATATTCAGGCTTGCGTGTGCCGCTCCCTCCAGCCCTTTCCCGGGCACTTGTGCCATGGCACCATAGAAACTGCAGCATCTCTTGGACCAATGAAAACGGCAGTTTCATACCGTTCAGCTTCACCTGTCCTTGGCCTGGGTATAAAAGGACTTTTTTTTTTTTTTTTGCATCAACAACATCACGTGCAAACAGTATCGTCAGCAGCCATGTCGCAGTTTTGCACACACAGCCTCGCAGCCTGCTGCATGCCGTCCCTGCCAGCAGCATGGTGGGGGAGGCGGGCACTGAGCGGGGGCCTCCTCCCTTCCTGAAGGGGTGTCGGGTCCTGTGGGTGCTGCTTGGGAGTGAGGGGTCCTCTTCAGTCCTGAGTGGGGCCAGCTGCAGGGAGGGTACACATGTCTTCAGTGGTCCTTGTGTTACCAAAATGCTCTACAAAAGGCTGCCCTGTTTCTGTCCTTGCTGCGAGTGGAGAGCCAGGGAGGGATGTCGTACCTTTCCTTTCGGGGCAGCTTCCCGTGACTAGGGGCAGGGCGAGGATCCCGGCTGTCTTACAGCTGTGGAAGGAAGCTGAGGTCCCAAGTCGCCCCATAGGCGGCCCTGGCCTGTGTAACCCACGCAGGCCGGGTGCCCAGGGAGCAGTGTGCTGTCCGGGCACGGTTGCTCTGCCCGACGTTCCACAGCATCTTCTGATGCCGCCAGGTGGGTGCTGCTATTGCAGACCCGCTGTGAGGCCCAGAGAGGCTCAGCTACTTGCCCAGGGCTGCCCAGCAGCTGGTTGGCAGAGCAGGCACACACCAGGGCAGCTGCCTTCGTGAGCCTCGGTTTCCCCTTCTGAGGCATGGATAAGTTTGTTCCCTGTGTTGGGTGTGCTGCGTGCACGGTGGCCAGCCTGCCGCAGGCCTACAGTAAGCGGTGCCTCTGTGCCGTGTTCCATGGCCGCCTGTGGGTGGGGCTGAGAGCGCAGGTCTGCCTCATGCGCCGTGGGCCCTGCGCGAGTCACCGGACCCATGTGTAAAATGAGCACAATGATGGGAGGACCCCCCGGTGGGGTGGACTAGAGCAGCCACCCTGCGAGAGGCGCCTTTCACCCTGGGCACGCGCTGGCGTCGCGCCTGTGTTTGCTCGGCAGAGACGGCTCCGACCGCGGGCTGGAGTCGCCGGCAGTGAAAGGTGAACGTCCCCTGACAAGTGACATGGGAGTTACAGAGACGGCTGTGGCAAATGAGTAAATTGTGCGGGTGTCACTTGGTGTCACTTAGTGGGTGCAAGCGTTGAGGTGAGCCGGGGTTGGGGGACGGGCTGGCTTCACAGACGAGCGACCTGGGCACTTGCTCAGGGCCCCGCACTTGGTTTCGTGCTCTGCTGTCACTGTCTTGAAGTTTTTAATCTTTTTAAACAGAGGTCTCTTGTTGTTATTTTTCCGCCGGGTCCCCGGATCACGTTGCTGTCCTGTGGGGCAGGTGGGCAGGGTGTACAGCTGGGAGCGGGTGGTGTGGGAGGCCTTGCTGAGCAAGGCCTTGCTGAGCGACGTGGCGGACGGGGGAGGCCTGGCAGCAGGAGCAGCCTGTGCAAAGGCCCCCGGTTGGGGCGTGTCTGCTGTGCAGGGCTGCAGCTCCCGTTCCAAGGTGGGGCCCAGCTGTGTGTCCCCCACTCTGTCTGCCGCCCGCCCCTGACGACTCTGCCTGGCCCCGCAGGTTGACTCCGCACTACATCTACCCACAAGCCATCGTCCAGCCCAGCGTGGTGATCCCGGCTACCCCCGTCCCGTCGCTGTCCTCGCCCTACATTGAGTACACGCCAGCCAGCCCGGCCTACGCCCAGTACCCGCCGGCCACCTACGACCAGTACCCGTATGCCGCCTCACCCGCCACAGCCGCCAGCTTCGTGGGCTACGGCTACCCCACCGCCATGCCCCAGGCCCTCTCGGCCGCAGCCCCCGCGGGCACCGCCTTCGTGCAGTACCAGGCGCCGCAGCTGCAGCCCGACAGGATGCAGTGAGGAGCGTTCCTGTCCCGGGGACCGTGGCAGCATCACCCACAACAGGCAGAGCCACCAGGCCACGACGGGCCCGCGGCCAGCCCGGCTGAGCTTTGGGTGCAGCCAGCACCTGTGCCCTGGGGAGATGGCTTCTCTTCAAATCTAGGTCCTGTCATGTCGCCAGGGAGGACTTTAAGAAGAAATTCCTCCTCGCACACGGCGACAGTATTCTTCCTGCACCTTTTCCTGCCCTTTGTCACACTCCGGGTGTCCTCAAGCTCGTCCCCACAGCACAGTCCCGGTGGGCCCATCCTAGACCCCAGCTGCGCTTTGGACTGTGCAGAAATTTTTTCCTGCACGGAGATGCCTTACTCCAGGGAAACCTGTGAGAGAAACTGATTGACTATTTATTGTCACTCGATCCGCACAAGCTGTGAGCCACAGTCGGGTGTGTGGGGCAAACACCTCCTCGTTGAATCCTCATTTTCTACCTTGTTGCACGGGGCGGCTTCCTCGAGGCCTGCCGGAGCGCCAGGCTCTGGCCAGAGATCCCTTCCAGTCGAAGCACTGCGACTTTTTCTTACTCTGTTTTGCTACTAAGATGATTTCAGAATTTCAGTCTATTTTTTCAGTGGAGACTGCCGCCACCAAGAATCCAAAACCTATTTTTGACTTTGAGCAATTTGCTTTTGTGGGTTCCACCCATGGAGACGATGACCGTGTCTCTGTAACGAAGTGTCTGCCGGCTGGCGGGCCGGGGGCCTCAGCGGGCTCGCGCCACTGGTCTCACCAGCTGCCAGGGCAGGCACAGCAAGTTGTCTCAGGGGTCGGGAGGGAGCGGGCCCCAGGCTTTCAGGCTGCTCAGGGTCTAGACCACGAGGGCTCCTGGCCTGCGGGTGGGGGACCCTCAGCCCTGCCCGCAGGGGGCTTCAGAGCACAGGGTCGGCCACCCCCACCCTCTTCCTCCTCCTGCCACCTGCTGAATACTGGCCCGAGACGTGCTCCTGCCTTCGTGGGAGTTGGTGGGGTTGGGGGCAACAAGTTCTAACAGCCGCGATGGCTCCTGCTGGGGGCCGCGGGGGAGGCGGGGGCAGCTGGGGGTTCCTTCAGACCTACCTCAGGGAGCGGGGCTCGGGGAGCGGAGCGTGCGGGCGCTCCTTGGCACGCCTGGTAGAGTCGAGGCCCAGAAAATAAAGGTAGCTAATATTATAATATTTTTATTAGAATTGTTCTGATTATAAAAATAAAACTTGTTTTCTTTAAAGAAATAGATGGTCTATAGTTTGCTCTCGAGTGGGAGCCTTGGGCCTCCCCCCACGGGCCCCCTGGCTGGGGAGCCCGGTTTCACAGTCGTCGAGTACCCACCCTGCGCTGGCCTCGGCTGGCCACTGAGCGTGGCCGCGGCGCTGGAGCGGCAGCCCCGTTGCCACCCACTGACGGGGGGAGGACTGGCGTCCCCACCGCGTCCGTCCAGGCAGCGTCTGCTGCGCTTAGGGCAGTTCTCAGAGCGGGGCCCTTGCAGCCTTGGCTGGGGGATGGGGCAGGCAGGGGGTAGTGATTGGAGGCTCCACCAGGACTCCATAGTGGAGTGGGGGGGCAGTTCCCCAAGAGAAAGGGGTGCCCCAGAAGCCCCTGAGCAAGGGCTGCTGAGCAGGTACGACGGTGGACGTCCAGGACAGCTGCCCCACGGTGCTGGCAGCCAGGTCAGGTGGGCAGAAGTGGCAAAGTCAAAAAGGGGTTCTTGGCCTGGGGTTAGATGGGCCCCCCACGCAGAGACTGTCCCAGCATCCCCCAGAACCCAGAGCTGGGGAAGTCGCGGGACTGCGGGAGGCGGTGATGTCGAGCGGATGCGCTGCTCCTGCCTTCTCTGCTTGCGCGCTCGGTTATTCGTTCCGAGGAATGTGGGCCGGGCCCCGCGCAAAGCCCTGGAGCTGGTCGCGAACAGACGCAGCCCACCCGCTAGGGTTGATGGTGTAGCGGGCGCGACGACGGACCAGCCCTGTGGGGAGACCATGCAGGGCAGCGGGCAGCGGCAGGCGTGGCGGCAGGGAAGGGCCCACAGGACGAGAAGGCTGGTGTGGCTGGGGAGGGGGCCGCGAGGGGAAGGTGGCAAGGGATGAGCTTAGGGAGGCCACGGGGCTGGAGCTGGGGAGATGGGCCCTGGGGACAACGGTGTGGAGCACGTGGTCTGCGGAGGGACAGCAGTTCACGGGGACGCCCGCTCCATTCCCCGCTCTCCAGGCAGGTGCCAGCCTGTCCTCGCCTGACCCCGCAGGGCAGAGCTTGGCCCACAGACAGAGGTGGTCAGTCCCATCGCCCTCACCGACCCACACAGCAGCCACGCCAGGGACTCGGAGCTGCCCTCCACTCCGCTCCCTCCCTCACCCCACGCTGGACTCAGCAGGTGCAGAAGATTCCGAGTTCTAAGCCTGTCTGGAATCCACCCCGTTCCCACTCCTCTGCCTGCCCCAGCCGTGGTCCAGGCACCACCCACCCTCTCGGCCGGACCTCACCATGGCCACCTGACTGCTTCTGCCGACTTCCTCCTGCAGCCCACGACCACGCGCAGCCAGGGCTCCCTGTGCACACAGGGAGGTCACACCTCCCCGACCTCAGCGCCTTCCGTGGCTCCCCATTGTCCTCGAAGATAAAGCCAAAGTTGTCACTGGGCCCCTGGGCCCCCTACCTGCCTCCTCACCCACTTGGCTCCAGCCACCCCAGCCTACCGCTGTTCCTCGGGCACAGCCACCTCAGGGCCTTTGCACTTGCTATTCCCACTGTCGGGAACCTCCAGCTGACCACCTTGTGCAACTTCCCTTCATCTTTGTCCTCATCTCTCCCCGTCCCACCCCCGTTGGAACATCAACTCCAAGAGGGCAGGGGCCGTCTGCCTTGTTTCCCGCTGAGCCCCTGCTGGTGCTGTGCCAGGTGCACAGCTGTGAAACTGAGGCCCGCTGCAAGCAGTCTGAACTTGATCCAGCCACCAGTGAGTGACAGTCAGAGATTTCCAGCAAAGGATGAGCCCCAGGACCCACCAGCACAGCTTCTGACCCATCCACACAGGTTGGAGTGTGCTGGGAAGATCTGAGCCAGCAGAGGCTGGGCTCAGGGGACAGAGACCAGAGTCACTGCCATGCCCACATGGGACAGGCAGAGGGACACATGGGGAGAAGAGCAGCCTCGCAGGGCAAGGGCAGGAGGGTCGTGGGGCAGAGCCTGCCACCACCTCCCAAGGCCAAGGGTTGCCTCCCCATCCCACAGAGGAGGAAATAGCTACACAGAGAGGTCAAGCGACTTGCCCGAGGCCACACAGCCAGGAAGACCTGGGGCCAGTTCTGCTGCAGCTGGGTCTGACCCCAGAGTGCAGGGACAACTCCATATGGTCAGCCCTTGACTTTGAAGAAAGAGAGGGTCACCCTGATGGGGGAGGGAGGTGGGGTGGACCTGGGGCTACCTTCCCTGCCCTGTCCCCGGGAATACCCAGGGGATCTTCTTTGGCTGTTTCCAATTTAATTTGACTTGAGATTTGCAAATAGCCTCTGCCCAGGGAAGTGTCAGGGAGGCCGGGGCCCCAGGTGGGACTCTGCCGGTTTGCTCTTCTTCCCAGGGCCCTGCGTCAGTTTGCAAACACTGGAGAGCGTCAGGGAGGGGAGTGCCCCAAGGAGGAGACATTTGCTGCCACCGATAAGGGCCTGGGGCCAGGCGTGGGGGGTGTGGGCGCTGCCAGGGTTATCGGGAAGGCCACTTGTGGCCAGCGAGTTTCCTGTTGCTATCGGCCGCTGGCAGCCTCCAGGACAGGCCTTAGGGAAGGCCACGAGGCCTGGAAAACATCTTCCTGGGTCCCGGGGCTGAGAGAGCATTTCCAAGTCACCACAGCTGAGCGGGGAGCAGGGCCGGGCTGAGGGCACAGGGACTCAGGCCACGGCCACGCGTCGTGGCAGCAGGAGTCAGAGTGACGAGGCCGGTGGCTGCCCCCATCCGCGGCAGCTGACTGCGGGTCAAGTGCCTTTCACGGAGGGTCTCCGTTACCCACAGGTCTCCCCATTAACACACACCGGGGGGTGGAGCCCCCTTGCCCAATCTCCTGGCGGGGAGCTGGGGAGCTAACACCCGGGCTCCCTGGCCCTCGGCGGGATCGCTCTGCGGGCGTGTCCTGCACTGGCACCCCGAGTCCCCACGGCGACGACCGGCTCCATGACACACCCTTCTCTTCATCTCACGTCCTCACTCCTGGGACGCGCTTCCTGGGGCCACCTCCAAAATAAACTGCTGCTCGTGGGTTTGCACACACAGCTGAGACGGCCGTGAGCGTCACAACTGCAGTGAGGGCCAGGCACCTGCTACTCCCGCGTGCTCTGAGCCCTGGAGGCAGCTCCTGCCCTCTTCCCTTTCGAGGAAATGACGAGGCCCAGAGAGGAGGGCCGCGTGGCCAGGGTTCCCACCAGCTGGCTCAGGGCCAGGCGCCTCCAAGCTGTTACTCCCGGAGCCGGCAGGTGGACAGGCCCGGGGAGGCTGCTCAGTCTCTCACCTCTGGAGCTAAGGTTGTCCTCAGGCTCCCAGAATGCATGACAACTAACGTTCATCGGCCATTTACCATGGCCATTTACCATTTACCATGGCTGTAAATCTATTATGTCCCTAAACCTTCCCAACAACCTGTGGGAGGCTGACCGTGCCCAGTTCACAGATGGGAAAACCAAGGCTGAGAAGATTTAGCCACCCGCCCACGGCCAGAGAGCTGGGGAATGGCAGACCCAGCGTCAGCACTGAGCCCCCCGAATGTGGAGCTTCTGAGGACTGGGCTTGGGCCACCACCCCATCCTCCACCTCCCTCATCCCAATCAGCCGGGCATGTCCTCCCTGCGTCCCTGCCCTGGTTGCTGAGTCACACATAAACATCATAAACACCAGGACCTCCCCAGGCCACAGGTTGGGGACCATCCAGACTCAGCGAGGACATCAGGGCAGCTGCCCAGTGTGCCCCAGGCAGGGTGTCGCACGGGGCACAGCCTGGGGCGGGCACCTGGCCCTCCAGATACCTCCTGGGCCTCCTGCATGGCTGATAAGTGCCGGCCTCTGCTTATCAGCCCCGCGGCCCTGCCGGCCCTGCCCCCGCCCCAGCCTCAGTGCGCACTCGGGGTGTTCACAGCCCTGAGATGGGCCGAGCCCCCCCAGCCCAGCCCCTGGGCACATCGGAAACAGCTCAGAAGGTTCCCGGGCGCCTCCTGCCGGCCTCTCTGCCCCAGGGATGGGGGCATGTTTAGAGAAATTGAAAATAAATGTTTTTTGTCTAAATTATAAAACTAATCCCGTTTAAAGGAAATTTATTGAAGTAATCTATGTACGTGTATGAACAGCGGCGGAAGGAAGTAGCCGGTGTTAGCAACAGCAGGACCACAGGAGGCCTTCGCTCTTCTCAACACCGTAGCTCTGTGCTGCTCACCGCTGAGAAAGAAAACTGGAGCACGAAGTTTGGCGCTGGGCCGTTTGATGTTCCCTTTGCGTGCACACGCTCCAGACGCTGCCCCGTAGGGCCACCGGCTCGCCTCCACGACCCCAGTCTCCCACAGGCTGAGCCTGGGGGTCCAGCTGCCATCGTGGCCTTCCAGGCTCCTGTCTGGGGGAGCCCACTCCATCTTTGCAAATGGAACTCAGAGCATGCCGTTTCCTGGCAAAAAAAAAAAACGCCCTCTGTGTGTCCCTGCTGCCCTGGAGTAAAATCCCAGTTCTTTGCTGCAGCCTCCCCTGCCGGGTGGACTGGACATGCCGCCTCTCTGATCCCGAGAGTCAGAGACAGCGCCCCGCCACTCTCCCCGAGTTGCCCTTTAACCCCGGCTCACCCGTCGACCTTGATGCCTCCTGGGACCTCCTGGCTAAGGCGTCTCCCCCGACTCCATCCCTGTTCTCTCTCTGCCCAGCGGCGTCCTCGTCCTCGCGGTGTGAAGCAGCATCTCATTTTTTTTGCTTTGATTTACGTTTAGTGTTATTCTTTTAAATAGGTTTAAGTTATCCTAAAAGTCAGCCCCATGCTCTACGCGGGAAGGATTTTAGAGCCCCCACCCCTACGCTAACCAGGGGATTAACGAAAAGTGTTTTTTACACTGACCCATCGAAACCCTGAAAGGAAGACAAAGGTGAGCTCTTCATGCAGCTGCAGAATCCATTTGCTGGAGA